AAAGTTTCAGAAAAGAAAGTTTTCTGAAATGAGAAACTAATTCTGAAGAGTCAATTAAGATGATGATACAGGTGTAAACATGAAGCAACAGGGACCTAAATACAGAGTGTTCCCCCAGGCAACACTGATACGAACATCCCCATGTATGAGAGCTGAAAATTCTGTAATTAGAATCATAGAATCATTAAGGTTGGAAAAGACCTCTAAGATCATCGAGTCCAACCGTCGACCCAACACCACCAGGCCCACTAAACCATGTCCCTAAGCGCCTCATCTACACGTCTTTTAAATACCTCCAGGGATGGGGACTCCACCACTTCCCTGGGCAGCCTGGTCCAATGTTTCACCACTCTTTCAGTAAAGAAATTTTTCCTCACGTCCAATCTAAACCTCCCCTGGCGCAACTTGAGGCCGTTTCCTCTCGTCCTATCGCTTGTTCCTTGGGAGAAGAGACCAACCCCCACCTCGCTACAACCTCCTTTCAGGTGGTTGTAGAGAGCGATGAGGTCTCCCCTCAGCCTCCTTTTCTCCAGGCTGAACAACCCCAGTTCCCTCAGCCGCTCCTCATCAGACTTGTTCTCCAGACCCCTCACCAGCCTCGTTGCCCTTCTCTGGACACCATCCAGCACCTCGACGTCCTTCTTGTAGTGAGGGGCCCAAAACTGACCACAGTATTGGAGGTGCAGCCTCACCAGTGCCGAGTACAGGGGCACGATCACTTCCCTGCTCCTGCTGGCCACACTATTTATGATACAGGCCAGGATGCCCTTGGCCTTCTTGGCCGCCTGGGCACACTGCCGGCTCATGGTCAGCCGGCTGTCAACCAGCAATAATTCTTGCTTCCTGCAGAGACTACACGGCAGGCTCTGCTCTGAGACCTCTCTTTCTTTAAATGCAAGCTGCCTATATTGATGTCTTTTTGTATATACCTTCTGCTTCTGCTGCCCTTGGTTTTAGCTTTGTTGTTTAGCTAATGTTTGTTTAGCTATGTTTGTTTAGCTATGGATGTTTGTTTAGCTATGGATGAGGATGGCCGTGCTATAACAGCGGCTGTTAGCAGAATTTCATTATTGCGGATACAGTGCAGAAAAATCTCTGCTCAGAAATGAAGGAGGAGGAAAAATTACCTGAATATAGATGGACTTAATGTTTTGGACTATTGCATCTGAACCCGCCCTCCTGCACATGAAAATGTCTGCAGATGATTCAATGTTGGTTCTATTTAAGTGCTTAGGAGCCTTGCATTGACTTAGATGCTCCCGGGATTCAGATCCCAGCACTGTTCTGAGTCTGGCTGAGTTACTCATGGCACGCTACTGCTCTTCAGGAATAGTAACTTCACCGTTCCTCACTGCACAGGGTTGGTTTGATGCTTGATTCAATTTAAAACAGCCACTTACAGCACTTTGGTGGCACATTCATTCCCTCCTTTCTGACACCTATTCAGACATGCCACTTTGGGGCAGGTTTGGAGAAAGACAAACAAGGCTATGGAGATACTGCAGGATGGGGCTAAAATCATGAAGGTTACAGGTTCAGTAGCTGGAGGCTGTGGTCAGATGCACTCTGGCGTTTGTTTTGGAGACCGCTGCAAACCTAAATTGACTGAAGCAAGAAATAGTGCAAACATGACTGTCTGCCTTGTGCTCTGCTGGATGCATAACGAGGACTAATTGGTGAGTGTAGTAATGAGAATACTGGCTTAAAAGTTTCCGTTGCTTTTTAAAGATCCAAGTTTCCTTTGGGTTTCATTAAAATGCACAATATTTTTGAATCACTAGCTAGCCCAACAGTGTTTTGAGGGTGCGACACGGTGCTTTTTTCCCCATTTGTACGATTCCCGAAGCAGCCTTTATTCTCATGAGCGCTCTGCGCCGCATTCGAGCCCCCCGTGCTGTAGTTCATTTCACGCTCATACTCCTGTTTCCAGAGGTGCTAATGTCGTCCAGAGAACTTCAGGTACCCATCAGCAGCAGCTCTCATATGACTAAATGGTCAAGGCATGGATGAGAACACGCACAACGCAGTATAATCGTTTAGCTTGCACCCAAAACGAATGAAAAGAGAGCCTGCAGTGTTGCACAAGGAAAACATCAAAGTGATTAAAATGAAAACCGCATCTTGAAATCTAATCACTTTTAAAGCCTGATGGGTTTCTTCCTTCCTGTTCCCAGTCATTTTAATGTTGTAGTCTCCTGTAAATTAAGGCTTATTCTCTGTTCCATGTACTATGGATGAACTGATGCTTGTCTGGGAAATGCTGGGGCTGTAGCTGGGACGCACAAGAAACCAGACAGCGCCAGACACTGCTAGAAAGCTGCAGGCTGCACACAGGAGAAATGACCATCTGAACTATTACAGAAGGCAAAATACAAAAGCTGCTGCTGTCAGACACAACGTACAGCTTGCTTTTGCACTTAGGAGTATGTTCTACCCCATAGAAAGCTGGAGGTGGTTTTCTTTTTTCCACTTGGAAAAAGGACTTTCAATCCATTCCTCTCCCTGAAAGCAAGATCAATAGAACTATTGTTATGAAAATTCCCTTCCCTAACTATATAGGAACCAGTCTTTATAGTATGGAAGTGTTTTAACTTTGTTAATATATATATATCAGTTCACATTAACTTTGTTAATATATTAGTTCACATTATACACTGTAACGTAATGAGAGAGCGGAATTTTACTGGAGACTTTGGTATTGTTCATGCTGAAGTATAACAAACTAAAGGACAGCCCAGCCCTGGAAAGAAGGACTTTGCTTCTTGGAAGCTTAAAGCTGTCCGTGAAGGATAAAAGATACCCCTGAACAACCAAGAGAATGCCAGCATCGGGTTGTACATGATCATTTGAAGGGTGTAAGGGCCCCGTGTAAAACCACATTTGGGGTGCCCCAGTTTGGCCGGGACACCTCACGCACATCAACTCTTTACTCTTGGATTTCTCTGCGTTGCGTCCCAGCCTCTCTCCTTGGTCGGCACGGGCCAGTTGCGAATTTTCGTGATGCTATGTGCACCTATACCCTTACTGACCTTGAAGACCTCCGCTGAATGAAATTCCTTCTCTCTACAGGAAATTTATCAGGCGGCTTCACTTTTTCCTAACGTTTAACTTCATCTTCCTTGCTGAAATTTAGGTCCGTTACGATCACAGTCACATACATGCAAAGGACATTCTGGTCCTTTTTGCAGGGTCACCTTCCTCCCCCGGAGGAATTCTTCATCAGGCTGGGAAAGTACCACCAGCTCATTCAGCCTTTCCTCGATCATTCTGTTCTCTTCCACTGAATAATTACCTTCATCTCGTTTTTGTATTGTCTTGGGGGACCATTTTTTTTCCCTCGGGTAACGTTGTTTTCTGGTTTTATTTGCTTGCCGAGATGACATTTTGAACACTTTGCGGCCCATCGTACTTTAAAACACCCCTAGGCTTTTGCTGGGAGGAGTACGACATCTTCCTCATCACCTCCGAGGGGCAGGTGCCGTTGCCGCCCCGGGAGGGACCGGGGGGGGACACCGGGGGGGAC